TCCAAATAATATTAGATTAATTAAAAGCACTAAGGCTGGCCACATTTGAGTTAGAATGTTAAAGAAAAAAATTATCTACCACACGTGTAAATAATAGATATAGTCTTTTTTTTTTATTCGTCATCGCCCGTGGGCTGAGAAATGGCATTCTTTTACACAAGCATCGTGTTAATTAGCCATCGGTGCACCTGAGTTATGACCAGATGTTTATATACGTATTGCCATTAGCTCGTTGTTTATGAGGTACGTAAGATATGCCAAAAGTAAGTCGTTATTGCGAATCTGGCTGACAATGAACAGCTATTCAGAGGCACTGACACCCAACTCATGTTAATCTGGATGTTTTCAGGTGTTTCTAAGTAGTAATTAGGACAACACTTCTTCTGGAAAAAGTGCTTGTTAAAAAGAGTACATTATTGTCTTAAAATGTTGTAGTGTAGAAGGCAAAGTTCAGTGTCAGTGGTGTCTTCCTAAATCCATGTTTCTGTGAAAACTTTAACGTTTAAAGATGCCCTTAATGTTGAGATACTATTCTTGAGCTAGTCTTATTTATTTATAAGGCTTCAAACGTTTTGATAAAAAAAGATAATTGGTAATCTATTGGAGTCGCATTTTAATTTTTGGGCAACGCCGTATAGGATTCAACTTTATTTTAGTCACATTTATTCATTTTACTATACACTTCAAAATTTTTATTACTGATCCTGACATTATTGTCTTTGTGTCTTCATTTTAGTTACGTGTTCTGCGAACAATACTATGCAAAACGTAATCAAAGACTTTCGACAACGTGAAAAGCAATGTTTATCTTTTCTCAAGCTCCCTTTTTAATTCTTATATTGCTTTGTATTAAATATACACATATGTATTTGGTTCTCTTGATACACATGCATTTCTCTGGTTATGCGCTGCTCTGCGAAATAAAGCAACTCACTGTACACATTTAGTAATATATAAAGAGGCTCAACGATCGACATCTTTTATATTCAGCCGCACTTAAGCATTTGTATTATAGTCTATAAATGAATGGTTTGTTACTTTCTCACATAATTAAAGGTTCGTGTGCTTTTTTGTTACCACTACTTCGTGTACTTTCGGGTGCACGAAGGGCAATTATTCACTGACCCTATCCAAAATCACTGTCCCAAGCTGTTAAAGCTTAGTTACGCAAACCACAATACAGTTCGCTACAGTCAATGTCAAACAAACGCAGTTACGGACGTCCTGGCTTAAGTCATGGACTTCTAACTGACATTGACGATCTTTGGCATTTCATTGATATAAATGATCAAGAAGTTTCTACCAGGTTATTCAAAATTTAGTCCTTGACATTTAAGGAGAAAATTATTGAAATACTTGCGATAGGTTGGTGTCAAGTCAGTGGAAACTGAGATATCCACAGTCTGTGCCAGTCTCTGAGAACATGTATAGCATCATCGCTTTAAGCTAACTTAATAATTATAAGACAATTTACATTTGGATCAAGTCGCGCGGAAGCGTGACGAGGTAAGTTTAGAAAAGCAGACGAAGCCTCAGCGACCACGCTACTATTTACTTCAGATTTGCATACTCGAATTTTCAAATACTGAAAAATAAGTATTTTTGCCGGTATGCCTGATGTCTTTTGGTTTAATTAAGCCTCTTTAATCCTAGTCCACAACTTTACCAAAAAATATAGGTTAAAAAGTCGTTAGAACAACGAAAACGAGACATGGGTATCTCTAAATGGTTAAAACAAGATTTTTTCAGGCTCAGTGTCCGAGAAATGGTCCTATCGTTAAGTTAGCTGCAAGCCAAATTATTCCTGTGTTTAGTTGAAATAGGCGTGTTCTTAAAATCAAGCAGAGCTGCCAACAGTGTGATATTAGCTACAGGTACTTCCTAATTTAACAAACTCACAGTAGATGATAGCAAGCAGTGTTGGGAGTTCTCAGTGGATAAGATGGTAGAGCGCTTGCTTCGCGCCTGGAGAGCTCGGGTTCGAGACTCCGTTCCGACACTTCCTCCCAGGTAACTAAGTGGTGTTTTTAATATGAACCAATCACTAGGATATCATATAAATAGGCTACTGGTATATAGCATTTTACCGTGGCATGCAGATATGCAGTTTACATAGACGCCACGATGCCTCAGAAGAGGAAGGTGGTGGATATGACTCTTTCATAGTAAAATCATCCCCTAAATGATCAATAATACAAATAATGAGAGTTATGTGGCAAATCAAGGTCAAATGTATATGTGCTCACTTGTAAGCATGTAAAATGTACCCAGCCATTCAAACAACGACTGACAAGATGATGTGTTGGTAAGGTAGGACACCTACCGTGGGAAAAGTTTGATAAACAAAAAAAAAATGTTAATATCAAGAATACTTTAATATCCTATTTATCCTAATCCTTAATTTCGTGTGCCTTAACTGCGAACACATTAATTTCAGTATCTAAATAAAAATTTGAAATAAATTAATTACTAGTAATAAATTTCATTATTTTTTTAGTATACTTTTTTTGGCAATTGAAAATAAATCGTGTAATACAGCTGTAACAGTATTAACATAATTTGCTCGATTAGATTGGGAACTCTAATAATTTCTCAGAGTGCCCTAAATAACAAGCTGTAAACCGAAGCATTATTTGATTTAGCGATTTGGATGGTAAATAATCATACATTAATAATCAATTTTTTAAGTACTAGCAAAATAGTAAACGATTTAATAAAAACAATTCTTTGAGTTACTTAGATACCACTTTTACGATTTTCGTACGTATTTTTCTGATAAATAATTTTTCACTGTGAGAAAACCCCAGGTATTAAATAACTGTAATTTAGAATATTTGGATTTTATCATGACATAAAAAAAAAAAATGATTAAAGGTAGTTTAATAAATGACAAATTTAGGATTTTTGATGTTTATAATTACTAAGTATTTTATCTAAAAAATTTGTTGGAAGAAGTAATTGAATTTATGTAGTAAGATTAAAGAAAAATTGCTAAGAATGATAGGATGAAGTAGTTTAATCACAAAAAGAAAAAGAAAAGAGCATCTTAGAGAAAAATCCCAAAACTGTATTTTTCAAGACAATTTATTTTATTTGGTGAATCAAGAAACTGTTTCTAAAAATTAACTGCATTTAAATATACTTGAAACATTATTAAATTAGCAAATTTTAGTAGAAATTTAGTGGGACTATCGTAGATCACCGTAGCTATGTTTTACAGACTTCGTTTTTATCCACTACTTTCTAATATTAGCAACATTTAACACTATTAAGTTATTTAAATTAAACATTTCAAAATGGTGTTTTGCTGAAAAGTTATGATATCCCTTTAAAAATAGTTTTTTACAAACCTTAAATGTTATAAAAAAGTGGGTAAGGGCCTCGTTTCGTGAGCGGGGGATCGCAGTTTCAAGTATCGTGGAAACTTTTTTTTCTTTTTAGAATAAGTTAAACAAAAAAAAGGAATCAAATAACATACAAAATGTATGCTCTGCTATGCTGGCGTAGCGTGGCGTAATGTGGTGTTAAGAAGACCGGAGTGGAGTGGTCGGTTAGGGTGGTGGGGCAAGGGGGACGTAACATGCAAAACCTACTTCCGTCATATATTTTCTCAAGGTCAAAATTTTAAAATCGTTAATTTACTCTTATGCATAACGTGCCTATATAAGTATAACTCCAAAAATTATCGACATGAAGTGGAGATCTTTTTAATAAGGCATAATATAAAAAAGCTTGTGATCGTTTAGCAAAGGTAGGTAACTGTTGGGACAGCAAAAATTTGATTTGATTGCGAGATTGCTTGAAAAGTGACCCCTAAAATGCTATGAGAACTTCATGGGCCCGAGAAAGAGGCACGTAAAGTATTATAAAAACTTTTGAAATGAGATTTGGAAATTTTTGCAAAAAAAGATAAATTACGTAAATAAAAATTTCTAAGTGAATACCTCAATACACTGTGAAAGATAACAATAATAAGAATGTGTGTTTTGTAAAACAAATCGCAAAATTTTTAGAACAATTTCAGTCGTCTAGACACTAAAACGCTTAAGAAAATAAGAAGCTTTTTAAAACCCCCTCAAAAATTAAGAAATTTACTTTATTTTGAGTCCCGAGCCCATCCGCTCTTTTTCAGACGCCTGTGCAGTGGGACTAACCAGCAATAGTTCAAAACCAAAGTAACTCAAGAATTTAATCTTATTATTTAGTTAAGATATTATTATTGATATAAGAAATTTTCAAAAAAACTGAATGATTATAATATAAGTTTAAAACAGTGTGTATAAAACAGTATAATATAGATTAAATTATTACAAATACAAATTTTGACATTATTTAGCAAAAGATACATCAATTTTTAGCTTGTACGTAATCCTAGCTCTTTTTTGTTACTTTTTTTTCTGAATATTTTTTATTTGAAACAGTACTTAAAATACTAAGAAAATTACTACATATATAAGCTCATAAGTTAATTACCATCAGAAAAGTCAGAACACATGTCTGGTTTGGTTTGTGGAGTCTTGTTAGTAGTAAGTTATTGTTAAGGGAATACAGTTTGTCGTTGTCCGAAGTAACGTGATAACTGGCTGGTTTCTTTCATAGGTATTAATGTTTGGGACAGTTTTTTGTTTTAAAATTACGAACTATTACATAGATATGGGTGTGGCTGAGAAGGTAATCAATCAGAGAAAATCTCTTAATTTGTTAAGCTAAAATTTGGTCATAGTATTTTCTCACTTTCTCTTTCTCTCTTCCCCTATCTTTTTATCTTTTTCACTCTCTCAATCTCTCTTTCCATTTTACCTAAGGAAACCTACATCTTTCCTATTTTACAGCCATGGTTCATATGCTGATAAAATTTCAATCTAATCTTTAAGTCAGACATCAAACTTTCGTGGACCCATAATCTTTTATCACCCTTATTACTTACGTCTTTTTTACCTTAAGCCCTCCTTGATAAATATGAACTGTAAAAAATGAGAAAATAATTTAAACAAACTTACCACACGAAAGTATCCTATCACTATAACAGCGATGTAACCTTAGTGCCTGTACTTGGCTGTCAGCAATTACAACGAGCCGGCCATCTTCAAGACCATCACCAGCTTGGGCAGCCCTAACAACTTTTATTCCACGGACAGGCACTGACGTAGGAAAAGCTTGTATTTCTTCTATTACTACTGGGATGACCTTATCTCGGGAGTCTGCTGACTCTGCGTTGATAGCTTTAATTACCTTTCCATTGTCTGTACCGATAAACAATACATCGTAAGCTTTGCCTCCAGGTGTTTTAACTTGAGGATCGACTGTGATTTGAGTAAATCTGTAACTAAATAGTACAATTTCTCTATAACATTATTAATGCATCATTGAAAATTTTAGGGTAAGCTAAGAGCTAAAGAGTGATAGTAGTGTATATTATTTTAAAAATATATACATACATACAACACTATTTTTTAAAGTGATTTAAGTAGGGTTCACCCCACATCTTCCAAGACCCCAAAAAGCCTCTCATGGCAGCTCCACTCGATTTTTCGTAGACCCTCACAACCCCCATACGTTTATCACTTCCAATTTGACAATTAGAAAACTCTTATAGTAATTTATGATGATAAAAATAAATGTATAAGAGTCTTCATAATGTGTAAGTTATTTTGATAATTAATTTTTTTGGTATATTTAGTATATTTTTCTAGTTCGATGACTTTTTTTAAACGACATAAAGATTAAAACTTTAACATTATAATAAAGTAACAGTAAACGTTGTAATGAGTGTATTCGTTATAAAAAATCAGTGTGACTTTTTATCCAAAACCTAAATTTTTTTTGATAGTAGGAATTTGACAAAATCTCCACCTCAAATAATTAACTTATTTTCAGAATGTATTTTTGTATTCCATAGATCGCGCAAAATTCTGTTGACTGTTTTAAAGGCTGTTTTAGAACCATAGAGGCCTTATTCCAAATTGTTAAATCAACTTCCAGTATTAATCTTTCTTTTCTAGATTCATTTCCTAAAAATCCACTCTCTTTACTGTTTCAGTTAGGTAAATGAAAGGTTCTATGACATGAAAACTGAAGTTATAAATTAATATTTCGTACAAAAGAAGTTCGTCCTGATTTTTCAGTACTATCAATAAAAAAATTTTGATAGCTTGCTACCATATGTTTTTAAACATCTTTTTTTATCAACGTTCAACTGAAAACACAAAGTTAAACATGTATTAATATAAAACCACTTCTTTGATTTTTGCTTGTTTTCGAGATGTACGGCTACATTAACCACGTTGTGACTTCCACCACAAATTTGAAACTCTTGCAATACCCATACTGCTTATATTGGACTTTTCAATTTTGTCTATCGTTTCATTTCTTAAACTGTTGACTCTTTGAATTTTTACAAATTGTGTATCAGCACTATATCATGTGTGTATATATGTATATTTATGGCTTTGTATGTATGTAAAGTATTAAACACTTATGTGACACTAATAGTTCGTTCGAAAAACTTGTTATATGGTACAAACATTAAAATATCAACTAGGATTGTATCTTCATTTTTAGTGTCATAATAATAACTGTCTAAAATATTATTTGTTCTCATATATTGGGGAGAATCATTTTTCTTTAACGATGTTGTATCAGTTAAGGGCTTAAGAAATTCTGTTATATGTTTGTTATTAGTCTTATTCAAACATAGACTCCGTGAGGTATGAGTACCATGAAGCATATGTTTAATATCTAATTCTGCAAGACGTTTTATGTTAAAAGGTAGTTTAGGTTATATTGTTTAATCAATGTATTTAGGGGTAATTCTTTTATTAATACAATAATTTTAGCGTTTTTTTGATAGCAATTCAAGCTGCAACGTAGGACAAAAAGTTTAATTCTTTTCCTCTGCTTCCTTTGTTTCCAAATTTTTCAATATACGTGTACGACAAGGTGTATTATACATGCGTGCAGAACATATTATAAAAGTTAGAAAATTTCAAATAGGTATCAAATTAAATAAAGGTAGTCTAGTACTCAACTGCTTAAATAACTCTATTATTCAGATGTAATGTTATGTAAAAACGTGTGTGTAGTAGAGCACGTTTCTGAAATTCTATAGTCAAAACGTAAGCTAGTACTTCACCAAGAATGTGTCTGAAAGTCATATCGTTTTAAATAAACCGTAGTTTACTATGAAATAATCTCACAGTTATATTTTAATTATTGTTTGGCCTAGTATTTTTTTATTTCTTTTTTGAATAATATTTCATATAATCCTCTAGTAATTTTCGGGTAAACCTGAATCTGAAACCATATTATCACCATACTTTGCGATTAGTGCCTTATTATACCTCTGTTTGTGTTAATCGTTTTTACGTAAAAAATCATTAATTAGTTCGTNTTGATGTTATATCACATTTAATTCAAAAATCTATAGTAGAAAAAGTAAAACCAGCAAAAATATTTTCCATGCAAATCGATACGACGCAAGATGTTACAATTCAAGATCAATGCTCTATTATAATACGTTACACACATGAAGGAAAAGTTTATGAGAGACTATTAAATGTTGTTAAATGTGCGAATACTACTGGTGAATCTTTTAAAAACATTGTCGAAAAAAATATAACCGCTCTTGGTATTGATATGAAGAATTGCATCGGTACTTCCACTGATGGAGCATAAAATATGCAAGGACAATATAAAGGGTTTACTGCATGGTTATCTAAAAACTCTCCAAAAATGATGCATGTCTGGTGTTTTAGCCACAAGTTAAACCTTGTTATGATTGACACAACTAGCATAAATGTCATTTGTCAACCACTCTTTGGAATAAAACAGCATCTTTTATTAGATAATCTTACATTCGAATAGATGTTTGGTTATCTCTATTGTCATCAAACGATAAAAAGCGTATGAATTTCATTGGAACAACGCGGTGGTGGGCTAAGGATTCTGCTTTGACAAAAGTTTTTGGATCTCCCAAAAGTTCAAAAGACTCTCTTTACATAACAGTGATAGCTACACTAGAAATAATTGAATGTGACACCCGATTAAAGTCTGATGTACGGGCGAATGCCAAAGGATTGAGAGAGTCGTTTTTGAAGTATGAAACAATTACTTTTAACTATCATACAATAATTAAATTTATACTCAAAAAATGTAACTTACCGCATATCTTTAAATAATCCGAATGTAACGTAAAAGACGGTCAGTGATGTTACATAAGCTGCCACCTACCTCTAACAACCTATTCGTGATTGACTGTCATTTTTACCGCCAGTATGATCTCCTTGGAGGAAGAATCACCGTCCGCTGGGTGTACTTGTATTGTAATGATCAGCCTGGAGCCTGAGTGCCCTCTGTGTATTTATATACTTAGACTTTAGATACGTTTGTCATTATACACATAAAACCATGGTTGCATAGGGTGAAAATAGCGAGCGGAACGTCAAAGGGGCAGAGAGGAAATTTCCCCCATTACCTTAAAAGCCGTGACGCTCTGACATTCTGGCTGGGAAAAAGAGTTTCACCTGTACATGGAGTGGAACGAGCCGAAGCATACCAACGGAGGTCAACAAAGTAAAAACCTAACTCATTTTGTTCATATTATGAGAAATTAATAAAAGCAATTCACTATATCCACCCTATGTTACTATGGCCTAAGTTTCAAAAAGTCTTGAAACATGATGACGTGATATAAAAAAAGCTGAAAAGTTGATTCACTAACATATAATAATTCATGAATCAATTTTTTTTTATTATTGCATGATATTATTAATATCAAAATAATAGAAAGTTTTAGTTAGTCGTAAACAGTTGACTCTTTACTTACTATCGATTTGTTAATTTAGTGAGAAGCAAGGTTTAAATGATAAGGTAAAATAGTCACATAAGAGGTAGCTAACGATCCCCATGTGTCTCTAACCCCTACTGTAACTTTTGTATCTAAACTTCATTTAAACTCTTAAACACTAAAGAAGGTTAACTATCTTAAGTAGTTGACAGTCACTTTTAAAGGAAAATTTGTGCAGAGCTTTAAAAATCTATAAAATAAATTAACTCAACGTTTCCACAGCTCTGGGTGCTTGGGCAATGATAAAATGTTGAAAAAATTTTGGTGAATCTTACATGCATTTTTACGGGAGATAGTCATAAGCGACTTTTATACTTAAAAATTTTAATACAATTGACAGTAAGATTTGGACAAAACTATAGTCAACTGTAAATTAATACCCACAAAATAATTATGTAAAACAATCACGTCGGATATGAAAGTAAACAAGTAGCAGAAGTTGCGAAAAAATTGCAATCCCTCGAGCCCATGCTAGCTTAAAATAAAGCCACCGAATCATTTCTTTTCTTTGCAAAGCCTAAAGTTAAGAACCATGCGGTATTTTTTAAATACCATCCTTATCAAGTTACTAAAGATGATGTGATAAGAAAAACCTTTCATCGTAAGGATGGTACACAAAGAATTTGGATATCGTACGACGAAAACAAGAATGCACTATTTTGCTGGTTATGTTTAGCTTTCTCAACGGAATCAGACAAATCTTCCTTTATTACAGGATTTACTGATAGGAAACATATTCACGAAAGAGTTTACCAGCATGAGAAATCAGTATCACATAAGAACTGTGGAGATGCTTTTTTATTACATCAAAGCTATTCGAACGTTGCACAGCTTTTGTTCTCTAATCAAAATAGCCTAAGACACTTGAATGTCATGAAAAATATCAAAATATTGGAACGAATAATAGATGTTATAAAACTCATTGGTACAAGTATACACAAAACTATATTTTTTTAGTGAAGTTTCAGGTTTAAATAATATTGTTGCAAATTAGCGTTTTT